ATAGGAATCCTTACACAAGTTGGAAAAAATATATAAGAACATATAAGGTTAGTTGAGAGGTCAGAATTTCAAATATACAAGATCGAGAACTTACAAGAACAGGCGATCAATTTGGAGTCTGGACGAGCTTGCAAATTCTCTCCTTTTTCTCGCACCGACTCCACACAGTGTAATGAGTCTACAGACCATAAAGCCCAATATGCTTTATAAAACGACCCATATGCAACTTGGGCCTAATCATTTACTTACAAACACACAATGATAGAACTTGTTCCGTTTCTGTGTTCAGCTTGGTTGGGAGAACAAATTCAGATTCAGAGAAAGATTTTGACTTTTGGGAAGCTTTCAGTGGAAAAGTTGTCTGCTCTATTCATTTAACCAACAACAACAAAAAAAAGGTTGAAAATTCTGGGCATTTTTATTTTTCCCCAGAAAAATTGAAATGGAATCAATGAAGAAGCAGTATCTGAAATATGGGTCTGAGAGAAGCAAGGCAAAGGAAAAGAATCAGAGGTTGTTCTTGGACAACGGAAGCATCTTGTTAGAAGAACTAATCGCTGATTGTAATGGTAATTCCGTTCCTATACGCAGCTTTTCTTCTGACCATATCCTTAAAGCCACCAGTAACTTCGATTCAAGTTGTTTTGTCTCGGAGGATGTGTACTATAAGTGGTTTAAAGGTAAAATTGAAGATAGATCTTACATGATCAAGAGATTCTCAGAGGATAAAATTACAGAGCACAGAATTGAAGAGGTTTATAATGACATTGTCTTGTCTGCTCGTATGAGCAACCACAACAACTTTCTAAAGCTATTAGGATGCTGTCTCGAGTTTCCTTTTCCGGTTCTTGTGTTTGAATTTGCAGAACATGGAGTTTTGAATCATCGAGGAGGTGTTACGGTTAACGGGGAAGAGTCTTTATTGCCATGGAGTTTACGGTTAAAGATTGGGAAAGAGATTGCAAATGCTGTGACGTATCTTCACATGGCGTTCCCTAAGATCATCATACATAGAGATGTTAAGCCAATGCACGTTTTCTTGGACAAGAATTGGACTACAAAGCTGTCCGATTTATCTTTCGCGATATCTCTCCCTGAAGGGAAATCAAGAATAGAAGCTGAAAGGATTCTTGGAACATTTGGGTACCTCGATCCATTATACCATACCACGAGCTTTGTGACGGAATATACTGATGTGTACAGCTTTGGAATCTGTTTGTTGGTTTTTCTCACTGGCAAACCGGCTGTCGTCACTGGATCTGATGGAGATCCACAAGGTGTTCTTAGCTATGTGAAAGGGTTATGCGAGAATGGGAAGCTCGATGAAGTAATTGATCCAATGATGATTAAAGACATCACAAGTGATCAAAGATTGCAAGTGGAAGCGTGTGTTGTACTTGCTCTGAGCTGCTGCGAAGAGAGGGATGAAGACAGGCCAAAGATGATCCAAGTAGCTAAAGAACTCAAGCGGATTGAGTCCTCTCTTCTGATATAAACTCTACATAACTTCTATAACATTTGCTTTGACGATATAATAAGTAAACATTCCTTGCATTTGTAAGGATGGAAACTTAGATTCTTACATCCGACATACATCGTGGAAAAAGCTTGATCGGAAACAAGATCATAACAACTTTCACTACTAAGACTATAGAAGAGATAGATCAATGTTTGTCGCCTCAGGTATGTTTTCTATCTCCTTGAGTTCTCTAGCAACTTCTATCATGTGAGGCACGTTCTCTCCTGGTCTGAATCTTACACATCTAAAAGCAAGCTCAATAAATGCTTCCATTTTCAGTCTTGAATGCTCGGGAATGTCGCCACTCACGCTATCCAACATCGACGGGTCTATCAGTTCAGTCAAAAGACCTTTCTCCAGAAACTTTCCAACATAGACAGGCAATACAGGAAGATAAACAGCTACTTCGGAAGTGTATTCAGTCTTTCCTGTCAAAAGAATTAGCATGATGATCCCAAAGCTATAAACATGGACATTCTCGGTGACCAAACCTGTATTGAGGTAATCGGGCTCGATATAGCTTGATGTCCTGCAAACCATGTCATTTACGCCTGATTCTCCTTCTGGAATCAGTATGCTGAGGCTGAAAGAAGCGAGCTTGGCAGTCCAATTCTCATCCAGGAATATATTTGCAAGCTTTGAATCCCTATGGATTATAGTTCTTGGGAATTCAGTATGAAGATACGTTACAGCATCCGCAATCTCTTTAGCGATCTTCAATCTTACATTCCAAGGGATTTTCTGGGTATTCACACACGAGAACCGGATGATGAGGAAACTCTAGACAACAGCCTAATAAGAGCTTGAGAACGTTCTTATGGCTACTCATCAGAGATGATACCGCGATGTCACGGTAAAAGTTGTCAGCTTCGAAAAGGGAACAGTGTTGGAATTTCTTGAATCATGCCTTTGTACCACACGAATCTGTCTTCAGAGATTACATAGTTCGAGTCGAAGTGGTTTGTAGATTGAAGGATTTGGTTGGAAGAAAACGTACGAATTGGATTGTATTTACCTCCTGAAGTTGCAATGAGTTCTTCCAACAATAAGCTTCCATGCTTCTGGAAATTGATC